TGGCTTGGCAATACACTTCCTTGTATGTATGCTTGCTGTTCCTAGGCCACTATTCCTAAACATAAGGTTACAGCCCAACCTAGCAACGAGTTTCCCAGCATTAAAGAGAGCACACACATTGCTTGAAATCCTAGTGTATAGCAAAGTACTCCGGTGCTCTCAAACGGTAGCCACTGTGAGCTAGATTTTCAAAAGAGCCGCGAGGCAGATTTAAGTGCCCAGCACCTACAGTTAGGATGGATTTTCAAAAGAGCTCAGCCCCATTTACATACCTTAAGACCCACAACCTTATTTCTGTCCCAACAGAGATGCAACAATGTAGCATTCAAAAAAGATTTAGTAAATATTGCACAACGTTATTTCTGCAGTTCAGTGTAAGGAATAGATAAATAAAGTTTCATGTATAATACATCTGTCATCCTGGTCCTGAAACGTAGCTTCTATTTTTTGGGATAAACAAAGTAGTTCTATTATTTATTAAATTAAGAATTAAGTTATTGTATTCTAATACATATTGTTATAATTTGTTAAAAGGAGACTTTTGCATAGTTTAATATAACTTGTTCCCACTTGAACGTTAAAACAGAAATCTCTTTCTTTACCAGCTTACTTTGTTTTCATCTTATGTGGAGTGGTTGGTTATTTTGTAGAATTTGAGTTCAGGAAAGGTGGAACTTCTTAAGGTATTTAGAGAGATGAAGCAGTGTGGGGAAATGGTAATGCAGGTTTCATTTTAGCAGGGCCGGCTCTAGGCACCAGCAAAACAAGCTGGTGCTTGGGGTGGCACATTTCTAGGGGCGGCATTCTGGCGCCGGCCATGCCGCCCCTAAAAATGTGCCCCGGCCGCCCTAGCTCACCTCTGCTGCTGCCGCTCATGCGCCATGGCGCGCGAAACCGCTGATTCGCACGCCGCTGCTCGCCCTCCCTCCCAAGCTCTCAAACCTGGGAGGGAGGAGGAGATCCCGAGCGGCCAAGGAGTGCCAAACAGCTGATTCGTGCACCGCTGCTCCCCCTCCCTCCCAGGTTTGAGAGCCTGGGAGGGCGGGGGAGACCCCGAGTGGACGCGGCGCGCGCGCTGCTTTTCCCCCTCCCTCCCTCCCTCCTAGGCTTGAGAGCCTGGGGGGAGGAGACAAGGCTGGGGATTTGGGGAAGGGGCGGAGTTGAGGCGGGGCCGGGGGTGGGGTAAGAAAAAAATGGGGGGCGGCGGCCAAAATTGTTTTTGCTTGGGGCAGCAAAAATCCTAGAGCCGGCCCTGCATTTTAGGACTGCTAGCCTGGAGAGTGTCCTTTTAAGTCCTGTTATTGAGTGTTTTATTTTTCACTGATGCACTCACCTCGAAAAATCTAGATCATGTTTTTAGATTGTTCTAATTGTTATAGTTAATAAATTTCACTGCATTTAATTTACTCCCAGTAATAATAATACTGTAGTATAGTGCCAAGGAGCCTCAGTCATGGTCCAGGACCCCATTCTGTTACGTGTTGTATAAACACAATCCATTAGCGCACCTCTGTCCCCCTATGTTTACAATCTAAGTACAGTACATAACAAATTTGGATGATGGCTATTATTTTAGCATCTGAAACCTGAAGTGAAATCTTATTCACAAGGGGGAAAAAAAAACCACCACTGCCACCTAGCTTTTTTAGCTATTACTTTATGGTCCTCATTTCTGTCACTGTCTTTGTAAACGATAGATGTTGACAGTTTTCAAAACTGAACTTACCCTTTTTAATGAAAGACAGATTAGGCTTCTAAGAATTTGATATCTCTTTCCAGAATATGTGCATATTCACATTGACTATATGAGATAAAGTTAAAACCTCAAAGCAGATGAAAGTAAAAATCATGAAAGTAGCAAAATCTAGTGGTACATTATGAAGTAACATTGCTTCAGTGATTCATTTGCTGATGTAATCGTGGATAATCTAAGCACTATACCCAGATGTACAGACACTCTTTTCTTAACCTGTGTACTATATAATCTTTTTAACATTCGCTTTAATAAATTTTTTAAATCTGTTCTTACTTTAGTAGCTCAGGTGTTTCCATTAACACTGATCCAACCTGCAAAGCTTTTCTGTTCCAT